TTAAATCTTTTCTGTTCTAAATAAAGCATCTCCAGATTCTTCAATGAATATGTTATGGTTTAGAATCCCTTTACCATATTATTTCTTTAATATCTAGGCCATGTTGCCCTAAACAGGTGCCCAAGGCTGGTTACTCCAAATGAGGCCTGACTGAAACAGATTTCAGCCGGACTGCCTGTCTATCACCTCTCTTCCTTTGAATGTCAGATTGCTATTTTTACTTCAGATTATGAGGCGACCCATTCCAGCCATCCTGTGCCAGACCTATGATGGCAACTCCTCAGTTTTAATGATCCGTCTTTATTAGAGTGACCCACGAGCAACCAAATCAATGCCGGTTCCACACTGAGGAAAAAGGTGTTGGCCTCCAGCCTCAATGTCACCCCTTTCTTCTTGGCTCTCCAGGGTCTACTTATTAACTCAGCCTTTAGAATCCTAGATGTGCACACCGTGAGTGCTGATCGCTGTTCAGTGTTATCAAAATGACCTTGTTTCTTTCAGGAGTCTTCTATGAAAGGAGAGGGAGAGAAGAAATGATGACTTTGAAACGTGTGCTATCTCCTCCCTGTTTCTCTAGCCTATGCAGAGCAAGAGTTAGCCTGCCAGATAAAGGGTCTTTTTGTGTTTAGTGAACTTTATAATAATCTGGTTTCTTGGTAATGAAACTTTTGAGACCTCCTTTTCCTTTCCCTGCGGGTATCAGCCCTTTCCAACTGTAGGTGTTTGCAAACTCCCCCTGCTTTAGATCAGAAGATCAACAAATCAAAGCCCCTCATTTTGCGGTGAGGAAACTGAGGTATAGCGAAGTTAAGTGACTTGCCCAGTGTCACACAGCTTTTAGGTATGTGAGGCAGGATTTGAACTCAGGTCTTCCTTGACTCCAAGTCTAGCATTATTTCTAGGCCAGTTCACAGATCATTTCCAAATACAGGATTTCATTTTGTTGGAAAAGGCTCTAACATTTCAATGTTGGGATGAAATGTTGTGCACTTGTAAGTCATGAACAATTAACAAAAGGAGATTTGCTTTGACCTACTGTAGCCAGGATATGCAGAAAGGATGCAATGGCACTGGGCTTCTCCCCTCCATAGGGAAAATTGGTCATCCAGGCAGTATATAGTGAAGGACATGGTGACTCATCCTGACTGCACATGTATGGGACTTTTTATACCCTTAAGTTTGTCAGGGAAACATGGAAACTCTTCGTCTCTTTTTAGGGAAAACTAATCTCTGTCACAGGGCAGCTAAGTGGTGCAGTGGATAAAGGGCTGGGCCTGAAGTTAGGAAGACTCCTCTTCCTGAGTTCAAATCTAGCCTCAGACACATACTAGCTGTGTGACCCTGGGCAACTTATTTAATCCTGTTTGCCTCAATTTCCTCATCTGTAAAATGAGCTGGAGAAGGAAATGGCAAACCATTCTAGTATCTTTGCCAAGAAAACCCCAAATGGGATCATAAATAGTTGGACATCCCTGAAAAACAATTGAACAACAACAAATCTCTGTCACAGGAAGAAAGAAGGAAGGTTGGGCCTAACCTACCCAGGTGGGAAAACATTTGGAGATTTTAGTTTGATCGCACATTTAATCTTCATCACAACCTTGAAAGTTAGAAAGAGCATATTTTATTATTCCCATTTTACAGATGAGAGAATGGAGGCTCGGAAGTCAGTTAATAAATGGCAGAGCCAGGACTAGAAACTAGATTGCCTGACTCCAGTGGTCTTTCCATTATACCACACTTCCAATAATAATAATAGCTGATATCTAAACAAAACTTCAAAGTTTGCAAAATACTTGACATCTGTTCTCTCATTTGATCTAGACAAAGGCTCTGTGAGGGAGGTGCTACAGTGATTATTATTCCCATTTTACAGATGAGAAGATTGAGGCTTAGAGAGGTTTGTCCTTACTCTTGGCTAGTGTCACAGGCTTTGTTTGGATCCAGGACTCCCCTGTCTCCAAATCCTATGACCCTTTCTGCTAAACCACACCGCCTCAGCAGCCTCTTGAGGAGAAACGTAAGAAATCAAAGGAACTTTCATCTCTAATTATGGTGAAGGGTTCTGATTAAAGGTTTAGTGCTAATTAAAACAAGTGACTAAACTGAGTTGGGGGAGGGGGTGTCTTAAATGCATTTATATTATTCATGCTACTATGCCAGCCAACTCATGCATAATTAGAGCTTTGACATTATTTTATGATGAATTATATCTTCTCTTCATTTGTATTCCTAACCTAAGTTAGTTGAGAGGTTTAATGCATAGATCATTGGACTTGGAATCAAGTTCCTGAGTTCCTGAGTTCAACCTGAGTCCAAGTCATGCCACAAACACCTACCAGCTATGTGATACTGGCCAAGTCGCTTAACTCCTGTGCCTCAGTTTCCCCATCTGTAAAACAAGGGGTTTGAACTTAACCTTTAAGGGCCCTTTCAGCTCCCAAACTATGATCCTAATCCTATGATCCTAAGTCAGAAGGACTTTGCAGTATATCAGGTTTCAGGGTGAGGTTATATAATCAGGGCTTATTTTCACTCTTTCACTTTTGAAAAGGTTAGAAAGAAATGTACATTCAAGTTGTTGTTCAGTCATTTCCAGTTGTGTATGACTCTTTGTGACCCCATTTGGGGTTTTCTTTGCAAAGATACTGGAATGGTTTGCTATTTCCTTCTCTAGTTTATTTTACATACGAGGAAACTGAGGCAAACAGGTTTAAGTGACTTGCCCAGGGTCACACAGTTAGTAAGGGTCTGTGGCCAGATTTGAACTCAGGAAGATGAATTTTTCTGACTCCAGGACTGGCACTCAATCTATTGCAACACCTTGTTCACCAGATTCAAGTTAGTAAGTAGTTATTATAAAATGGTCTTCCTGCTATCTCTACCTGTTCAAATCCTTTTCTTTTAAGTCCCAGGTCAAATGTCATCATCTCTTCCACGAAACCTTCTTTGATTTCCCCAGCTTCCAGTAATCTTTGCTTTTTCCATTTTTTTCTTACTATGCTGTTTAGACCTTTTCTATACATTCATCATGCATGAATGCACAAAACATATGTGATTTCATTAATATAAGGAATTCCCTAATTAGGAACTCTTTCCACCTCAAAAAATTGCATCTCATCTGGGATTTGGTCTGAATGTCCTAGAAAGTTGCTTGAGACCCAAGAGCTGACATTGATATAACACTTAACAGTTTACAAAGCATTTTACATCCATTATTTGATGTATTGTCATACGGTGCTACTTTTAAATTCATATCATCTCCCAACCCTACCCTGGATTCTCTCTATTCTTTCTAACTCTCCAGCCCATTCCTTTCTTCTACAGACTTCCTATTTCTGAAATAATCTGTCAAGCCACGATCTCATCTCCAAACTGATATCCTCTAGAAAGAGTTTTCTATCTGCCTACCCAACACAATAAGGACAAACTGCCACACTGGTGATATTTACTAAAAAAAGGGGAGAAAAGAAATAAAAGTGCGTTTCCTTACCAGTTCTCCAGAAGACAAGAGTATTCATTATCAATAACCAGAATTTAACTTCTTTTAGTGAGAGTGTCATCTATGTCATCATCATATGTGGTCTTTCAACACTAGTGTTATTAAGAATAATTTTGTATAAATGAGGCCTTTCTTTTTTACTTTGATCTCCTTGGGGCACTTACCAAGTAGTGACGGTGGGCTAAGCAGTGTGAACAGCTTAGTGACTTTTGTCAGATAATTCCCAATTGTTTTACAGTTTGGTTGTACCAATTCACAGCTACCCTAATTCTATATTCATGTGCCCGTTCTCCTATAGACCCTCCAACACTATTTCCAATTAAAAAAAAATCATCTACAAAATTCTTTCCTTACAACATCCATGAAAATATTATTACCCCCATTTTATAGATCATAAGATAAGAGATTTATTGCTGCAAGGGATCTTGGGCTTCTAATCCAACCCTTTCATCTTACAGATGAGGAAACTGAGGCTCAGTAGTTCAGTGACTTGTCTGAGGTCACATAGTAAGCAATGGGCTCAGGATTCAGTTATGGGTCTCCTCATTCTCAGGTATTAACAACTCAAATATTGCTCTTGCCACTATCAATAAACATTTATAAAGTGCCTACTCTGTGCCAGGCACAGTGCTAAAAGCTGGAGCATAATGCTCTGCTTTTAAATTCAAGATATTTCCAGGAAGTGGTTTTATATATTTAAAAAATGTTTTTTTTTCTCAAGCCTTCTTAGCACTCTTTTTTCTTCTCACTTGCTTCTTTCTCGTAAAAGTAAAATGCAGAAATAAAAATCCAGTTAGACGTAGGTTCTGATTAGTTACGTTAATACCTCATTAATTGGATTTTCATGCATGGAAGTATTTAATCTTCTGTGTTTATTTAACGCCCCTCCTCCGAAAGAATTCAAGGCTCTGGCTAAAGAAGTTGCAAATATGCTAACATTCTTTCAATGCTGGAACAGCTAGGTAGGGAGTCCAACTGTGTTTGTCCAAATAGAATTGGAGGGACCAATTGGTAATTTCTGGATATTTAGTATCTCTTAAGTGGCCGTGGAGGGAGTGTTACCCAAAGTATGCAGAATTTTCTAGGCAACAAAATAAGTACGATCTCAAAGAGAGGGAAGTGAGAATAATTATCTGTCTAATCAGATAAGAAGGTTACAAGAGGTGATGACTCAGGAGGATTATCTTTTTTTGTTTCCGGTTCATCACATCTAATTCAACCTCCACCTATATCTGGGGATCCTGGGATTAGTATTGGTGCTGATCTTGCACATTACCCAGGACTCTGGGGAACTGTTTGCTTTTTGCATTGCTTCTCCCTTGATCATTGCACTGGACAGGACATCTCCCTTGTCCCTGTGAGGGCAGGAGGGTGCCACAGGCCAAGGGCAACAGGTCAATCCCAGAAAACCAGTTCTCAGGATCCTGGTGGACTCTTACAATTCAGCTTTAACTCATGACTTCTCATGCCTGAACCCAGAGACTGAAGAGCCCGAGGGATGGATTTTGGATCATTGGAGACCGTTGTGGCCAATTCTGCCTTCATAGCTGCCCGGGGCAGTTTCGATGCAAGTGGTAGTTCCCATTTATCCCGGGACAAGAAGTACCTTTCGAAGCTCAAACTACCTCCTCTCTCCAAATGTGAATCCCTACGGGACACTCTTAACTTAGAATTTGAAAACATTTGCTCTGAGCAGCCTATTGGCAAGCGCCTCTTTCAGCAGTTCCTAAAAAATGATGAGCGATATGTCCCTGCTGTCGAGTTATGGAGGGACATCGAGGACTACGATACGGCGGATAATGATTTTCGCCTTCAAAAAGCCCAGGCCATCCTTGCCGACTACCTGGACCCCAAGGCCAAGCTTTTCTGCAGCTTCCTGGAGGAGGGGATGGTTGAGAAGGTCAAGGAGAAACACTCAAGCATCCCCAATGGACTCTTCCGACCTCTTCTTCAGGCAACCCTGTGCTACCTGAGTGAGGCTCCCTTCCAAGAGTACCTGGAGAGCTTGTATTTCTTGAGATTCCTGCAGTGGAAGTGGCTGGAAGCCCAGCCCATCGGGGAAGACTGGTTTTTGGACTTCAGGGTCCTGGGAAAAGGGGGTTTTGGGGAGGTGTCAGGTTGCCAGATGAAAGCCACAGGCAAGATGTACGCCTGTAAAAAACTGAATAAGAAGAGGCTGAAGAAAAGAAAAGGGTATCAAGTAAGCAGCAGCAAATAGGTCCCAGCAAGTCCAAAGTAAATGCTTTTGAGATTCCCAAAGTGGGGCAGAGGTGGGAGGTGGCAAGGTTGTGGGTAAGGGGGCATGGTGGTACATTAATTAGGATGTAAAATTTGGTCACTCTCTCTTTATAGCTCTAATACAGAGTAGAGGTGGCTTGCATTGGCTTGCATTTTGGGGATAGAAAATCCTGACTTGGAGTAGTAGCCAAACTGTCCATGGCTAGTGTTCTGGTCAATCTAATGAGAAGCAACCATGATGTAGTGAATAGAAAGATGGCCTTTGAGTCAGAACAACCTGGATTCAAGTCTCACAGCTGACACATCCTGGCTGTGTGACCATAGGCAAACCATTTAACCTTAGTGCTCAAAACAACAAAGATGCCGTTCTACACTGGAAGAGGGAGTCTTCCCACCTGGGAGCTCCCTATGCACATGAAATCACAGGTCCAGACCAAAAAAATATGTTATATCATTAAAATGAGGTGCTACAGGAGCTGAGTTTTGATGTTTTATGACGCTGAAAGCTAGATCACTGAAGGAGGAGAATGGATCAAATGACCTCTTGACACCTCTTCCAGTCCAGTGATTATATGGTTTACCTCCTCCCGTTCTTGTAATTAATATCAGTTGTTTTAAAAGTAGACCGGATATTCTCAGACCCTGGTTTGTAGCCGACCCATAAGATGTATTGATATAGACGTGATCTTATATTTTTTTAAACCGCTACCACTGAAATGTAACTGTAGGAGTGCCTCATTCTTCCAGCAGCCTCAGCCTGGCTTTTGGAAATACACTCAGCACAACAGTAACTTACTTTGTGCTCTAAAAAGAGTGGCACAACTTTACTTTTGGGGCTAGGGATACAGCTGGGACCTGTAATTTCATCGGAATAGGGAAATCGTGGGTGAGGAAACTCCCTCAAACAACACAGATTCGCCCTTTTTCTGCAATTTAAAATGTATTTGCCTAGAGCATTGAAGGATTAAGTGATTTGCCCAGTCACAAAACCAGTGTACGTCAGAGGTAGGACTTGAATCCAGGTTTATCCTGGCTAGAAGGCCAGCCTTATATCCACTATACCACATCTGCCTCTTAGGGATTTCAGTGCCAAACATATATTAATTTGACCAAATATGCAGTTAGACCTCCTCATAATATTGGTAGTAGAGGCTAACACTAACCTTCACTTTATAGGAAATGCACATTGTATCCTAAATGAAATAAAAAAATGAAGTTACTCCATGTCATGGTGGGGTCCTACTGCATGGGGTCCACTGCAGCTTCACTTATGCCAGTGTTTCATTTGAGAAAATCTGTGTAAATTGCTTGAAAATGACTCGGAAACACATTTATTGGCCTTCCCACATTCCTGACCAAGTGAGGTGCTCTGTTTTCCTCCAAAGGTTGCTCAAGGCAACTAGTACTAACACTTCATTGTAACTTCATTACAAATGAAGGAAATTTGTAAGTGGGGACAGTCTGAGAATGGTTTAAAGAAAGAAACAAACAAATAGCATGCAACTCGATAGTGTAGTGGGGACAATCTATGATGGGAAGAAAGATAGAAACCAATACTATTTGGTGAGTCGTGACAGTCTGTAACTGGAAGGAAAGAAAGGAAGAAAGAAAGAAAGAAAGAAAGAAAGAAAGAAAGAAAGAAAGAAAGAAAGAAAGAAAGAAAGAAAGAAAGAAAGGAAGAAAGAGGAAGGAAGGAAGGAAGGAAAGAAGGAAGGAAGAAAAAGAAAGGAAAGAAGGAAGGGAGGGAGAGAACAAAAAGAAAGAATGAAAGAAAGGAAGGAAAGAAGAAAGAAAGGAAGGAAGGAAGAAATGAAAGAAAGGAAGGAAGCTAGGAAAGAAGAATGAGAAAGGAAGAAAGGAAGGAAAGAAGGAAGGAAGAAAGAGAAAGAATTAGCACACAACTAGATGGTGTCTTCACATTATGCTTGGTATGGCTGTATCTCTGATCAATTGATCTGAGTTGAAGAGGTTAAAGACAAAAATATTAAATCAATCCAGGGGAACATGAGTTCCAAGAAAAAGCCTGTAGAATTCTGATGATGGAATCTTAGAAAGGTAGTAAATATTCCTTTTGCCTGTTCAAGAGAGGTAGTTTGGCATAATGGAAAGAGAGCCGGCTTTGAAACCAGGAAGACTTGGATTCAAGTGTTGCCTCTTCCACATACTGTCTATGTGATGCTGGGTGACACCTGACCTCTCAGTGTGCTGAATCTAGGCAACTTGCCAAGACTATGAGTTGTAGAGTAGATGCTGACCTATATTGGTAAAGACAGTTTCTTCACATGGGAATTCCTTATGCCAATGAAATCCTAGGGCCAGTCCATCTCCTAATACTTATCATAATACTTTCTTCTTCCAGATCAATAAATTAACTAGATATGGGTAAAAATTAAGTAAAATTTACATTTTTCCCCAGTGTAGGCTTACTTACAAACCTTTCTGATGCCAGGCTTTCTTTCTCTTTCCCCCAAGAAATTATATCCTCTTTCTAGTTGCAAATCCAAGGTTAACAGAACAAATTTTTAAAGACACATTTAAATAGAAAGTAAAAAGGTTTTAAAATAAATATATTAAATGATTTGGGAGGACACTGACCAGTTGCTCTCCATCTCTGCAGAGGCCTGAACAAGAGGAAATGGGCTGACATTGCAGCAAGAGAAAGCTCGGTTAGACATAAGGAAGAACTGCTTGACTGTAAGGGGATTAAACACTGCAACAGGCCTATCAAGGGAGGTTGTGGAATTGTCATCTCTGGCTGTCTTTTACAAACAAAATGCAGCACCTTCTAACCTGGCTACTTTAGACATTAATTTGCCTGGAAGCAAGTGATTAGATGAGGTGACCCCTTTGTACCTTTGTGATTTTATGAGGAATCAGTTTTTCCATCTGTGAAATGGGGCTAGTATGTGTTGGTGAAGGTCTTTGAGATTGTTTTTTTGATAACTAAAGGCTAATTGTTTTTGATCATTGTCACTGTTTCTCCTGTTTAGATTACAGAAATATTGATATGCATGGAGAGAATCCCTTGGAGGGAGGGGTGGTACAGAATATATAAGTATTATTTTATTGAATTTGGGAATTTGTGGGGAATGCATTTTTTTCAGCCTAAAATGTGTTAACTTATTCAGAATTTTGCTTTCTAGGGCGCTATGGTAGAGAAGAGGATCCTAGCGAAGGTCCATAGCAGGTTTATAGTTTCTTTGGCCTATGCATTTGAAACCAAAACTGACCTCTGTTTGGTGATGACAATAATGAATGGAGGAGACTTAAGGTAAATTGAACCCTTGATCCAAAGTGGGAAGTAGGGTAGGGTTGGGATGGGCCAAAGTGATATAACAGTATCCTTTTGTGAGAAGTGGTCTTAGTTAGGATGGTCTTAGTAAGATGCAAATCAGACCTAGGATATAGTAGACAACTGTCTCCATGGTGTGATTTGACATAGGCAGGAAGCCATAGGAATGGGGTAGAGGGAATTCCCAACGACAGTACAGGTTGGTACCTTTTCTGTAACTTTGAGTCTTAAAGAGATGCCTAGAATAGTGAGAGATTTGTCCAGGGTCAAACATCCAGGATGTGTTGGAGGTAGATTAGTTCTTCCTGGTTTTCTAACAACAATACCACCTTTCCTCTAGCTAAAAAGGACCAACAAAAGTATCTCTTACATTGTCTTTCTGTTTTGCCTGGAATTTTGCTATAAGAAGATTCTTTTCTTAGGTTCTCAGCTAGCATCAATACCCCTAGGAAAGAGATTATACTTACATGATTTATATTTTAGCATTTTTTCCCCAGGAGAAGGATTTGAGGATATGTGAGTACTGGGTTGTTTGGGGAGGGGGGGTGGAGAAGGAGGACGATGAGTATTATAGAGGAGTAAGGACACTAAAGATAAACTTTGCTAACTTCATAATTATTCTTCAGATTGGAGCCTTGAAAGCTATTAGTAGGCTAGAGGTAACAAGTATATTGTTATTGTTGTTGTTCAGTTGTTTCAGTCATGTCCAACTCTTTGTGACCCAATTTGGGGTTTTCTTGGCAAAGATGCTGAAGTGATTTGCCATTTCCTTCTTCAGATCATTTTACATGTGAGGAAACTGAGGAAAACAGGGTGAAATGACTTTCCTAGGGTCACCCAGTTAGTAAGTGTCTGAGGCCAGAATTGAACTCAGGTCGTCTTGACTTCAGGCCTGGAACTCTATCTGCTGTGCCACCTAGCTATTGTTTTGGGAAAAGCAAGAAAGAAAGACACACACACACACACACACACACACACACACACAGAGCAATAGACAGAGACAGAGATAAAGACAGAGACAGAGACAGAGACAGAGAGAGGTGGAGAGAGACAGAGTTTAGAATAGCACAAGAATAAAAACTTGGTGATTTGTAACACAAAGTGTTGCTAATAAATGGCAATGGAAGAAGTAAAATGAATGGGGCTGAATGATTATTGTTCTAGCTTAGGGAGGGGAAAGGAACAAGCATTTATTGAGCTTACTCTGTTCTAGGCATTGTGCTAAGCAATTTACAAACATGATATCATTCTATACTCATTTTACAGTTGAGGAAGCTGAGGCAGGTGGAGGTTAAATGACTTGCTCAGGGTCACACTGGTATTAAGTGTCTGAGTTGGGATTTGAACTCGCATCTTTCTGACTCCAGGCCAAATGCTTTGTCTACTTCATCTCCTAGCTACTTTAGTGCCACTTAATTCCTATGTTGGTTTAGAAAATCACTCAATTTCTCTGGCCATGAGGTTCTTCATGTGCAAAATGAGGAATGATGGACGAGATGACCTCAAAAGTCTGTTATGACTCTACCTTCTGTGATTCTGACAAGTTCAACCAACCAATGCTCCTTAGTATTTCTGCTTAAAGGCTGGGGGGAAGCTGAAATGAGGTCTTGGGGTTATCTATAGCTTTCATTCAATTTGTCTGTGTTCTTCATTTCCCTAGGCAACTGAAAATTGGGATAAAAACTGAACAAAATGTTTCTTAGAGATATCCAACGGTGAGGTGTATTTTCCCCTAAATGTAGCAACCATCCTATGATGACAATTTTGTTTTCTATTTAAATTGTGGACATGCAGTATACTCACTAGCTATGTAACCCTGGGCATGTCACTTAGCCTATCTAGGCCTCAGTTTCTTCATCTGTAAAATGGGGGTAATAATAGCATCTACTTCACAGAGTTGTTATGAGGATCAAATGAGATAATCTCTCGCAAAGCACTTTGTGAACCTCATATAATGTCAGCTATTAATATGATTATAGATAGGCCCCAGGAAGTACCCACTTCTTCCATGGTATTCTGCTCTGCCAGGTATCACATTTACAATGTCGATGAGGAGAATCCTGGTTTTGAGGAAGCAAGAGCCGTCTTTTACATTGCCCAGATCATCTGTGGCATGGAACACCTCCACCAGAAGAGAATTGTGTATAGGGATCTCAAACCAGAGAATGTCCTGTTGGATAATGACGGTAAGTGTTACCTGCCCTGTGTAACCAACCAGTCTGTCTATTACCATTTGCTCTTCAATGTGTTATCTTCAGATTTGGGATGATCAGTCATCAAAATGATTGATCCAGGGAAGGGAGGCCTCTGTTCCAATCTGCTTACTCAATATTTTGAATTTGTGTGTCCAGCTGACCCACAGAATCTTTAGGAGGAGTGGGCTGGTGTTTTGGCACACTTAAAGAGTATCGATGTGCACCTTAAGTTTGATTTGAAGTCCAGGCTTTCATCTTGAAACAAAATGGCCACCATTAACAATTTTTCAAGGGGCATCTCATCCATCGTTTTTACCAAACTTGAGTGAAACTGGTAAGACAGGTTACAGAGGTTTGATTTAACTGTGTGAAGCCTGCAATTCATAGAATCACTTGTTTGGTCATTTCAGTCATATCCGACTCTTTGTGACCCCATTTGGGGTTTTCTTGACAGAGATATTGGAATGGTTTGCCATTTCCTTCTCCAGCTCATTCTACCAGACAGGAAAATGAAGCAAATAGAGTTAAGTGACTTACCCAAGGTCACACTGCTAGTAAGTACTTGAGGCCAGGTTTGAACTCAAGAAGCATCTTCCTGACTCTAGACCTGGTACTCTATCCTCTGTGCCACCCAGCTGCCTTATATAGAATCACTAGTGAATATTTATGATTTAAGGGTCAAATTCCTAGCAAATGTTTTTACTTTCTGCCTATGATGTGCTGTTAAATATATATTTAAATAAATTATATCAATATATAAAAATATATTTAGTATAAATAAAAATATAAATTATAAATATGATTTATAATTGTATTATAGCTGCCAGTACCTCCCCTTTACAAATACCTTACATCTATTTTATATTTATAGATGCATTTTAATTATGTATATATCCTACTTGAATGCAAACTCCTTGAAGACAGAGGACTTTTTGCCTTTTTTTCATCCCCAGCCTTTAGTACAATGCCCGACACATAAAAAGCACTTATTGATGACTAATTAGTGTATCTTTATTGATTGATTAAAACTCATGTCAGAGAGCTCTTAAAATGCAGTCCTAAACATGTACAGAATGGGCTTTTGACTTGCTTTTAACTGATTTCCCTTTGCAGTTATGACACATTTTGTTCTATACAGGTGGAAACTGTTTCATTTATTGTCTTGGTATCAGCAATCAGTATCAGGGTCAAGACGCTTAATAAACATTTATTGAATTGAATAAGTACTAATAAGCCACATAATTAAATCCATATGAAATTCAGGAATGGTGCAAATATTTGGCTTTGGGGAGAAATTATCTTTGCAAATTCTAATTGATTGTGGAGGACTGTTGGACATGGCTAAGGTTTTGCCAATGGAGAGGAGTGAAAGAGGTTGTTTCTGAGTTGTCTGTGACCTTAGCCTACTGATTGCCTTCCTGGGAGGGGTGTGTACAGAACTCTGCATTGTGACTCCAGCAAGGTGCTGGGTATGCCTGCTTCCTTTATTATGTTTGTCCTCATCTGACCACTTCTGATGTTTGCTTTTCAGGGAACGTCCGGATTTCTGATCTTGGCCTTGCTGTGGAACTGAAGGAAGGACAGACAAAGACAAAAGGTTATGCGGGCACCCCAGGTAAACACCTGTAGGGGCATAGAGTGGTGGAGAAAGACAGAGATGCTGCTCAGTCAAGTCATGCCTTAGGAGAAACCAAGAGCTTCTTAAGGAGGGGAGGATGTCACTTTGTTTGGTCAATATAGAAATGGTAGCTTTCTTAAAGAAGCAAGGCTGGACCTCCCCGAATCAGGTTGTAAGATTGTAGTTTTAGGCCTGGAATGAATGAATGAAAATGCATTTATTAAGTGCTTCTTCTGTGCCAAGCACTGGGCTAAGTACTGGGGATACCAAAAATTGGGGGACCCAGCATTTGTAAGAGAGTTCAGCAATCCAATGCAAGATCTCTGTTGCTGGGTGTGTCTTACTGCCTTGCTGCCCCATAGGTTTGGAAGGGACATTTGAGGCTAACTAGACCACCCCTTCAATTACGGATAAGGAACTGAAGTCCTGAAGGGTGGTGATTTGCTCAAGGTCACAGTGAGAATGAGTCATTTAAGAGGGGTAGGGGATGAAATGCAGCACTTCTTTGGGACGTTGGAGGAGCGGTGGACATGTGGTTGTAGGAAGGTGACTGGTGGCTCTCCTGCCAATCCTAATCTTTCCAGCACTCATCATTTCACTGATCCCACTGTTTCCTCTAATTAGAATAATAATAGACATTTATATAGCACTTGAAAGTTTGAAAAGCACTTTACATATGTAATGCCATTTGATCTTTATAACAACCCTGATAGGGTCCATGATAAATCCATATTTTACAGATGAGGAAATTGAGGCTGAGAGAGGTTAAATGACTTGTCCTGGGTCACATAGCTAGTAAATAACCTGAGGCAGGATTTATACTCATATCTTCTTGATTCCAATTCAGTGCTCTATCCATTATGTCATCCAGCATAAATAATCTGTAATTGCTTTGCTGATGCCTTATTACCTAAGAGACTCCATATCCTTCCTTATATGGTAATCAGCAAACATTTATTTGGCACCTATTATAGGCAAGGCATTGGTGATAGGCACTTGGCATACAAAGACCCAAATCAGAAAGACCCTGCCATCTGTGAGACTTTCTTCCGGTAACATTTTGAAGATGAGAGCCTGGAATCTGGCACTTGACTCCCTGGTTATATTTTCTTGAAAACATAGTGGTTTGGGCCAGTTGTTTATCCAAAGCTTTTGTATTGAGAAGGGTGCTTGAACATTGTGGCTATGTCTTTAAGTGTGCTTCCTTTAAGTGGGAAGGAAGTCAATGTAATTGAAAGCAATGAGTTGGTCTTCCTCCCTGACACCGTTCACCTTATCGTGCTGTTAGGTGGTTGTACAAAACCCTTCAATAATTACAAAATGCAGTAAAGCCCTTTAGAACCTGCCTTGTCATAGCATGATTTTGGTTATATTAAGATATATGAGACGCTAGGTGGCGTAGTAGATAGAGCACCAGACTTGGAGTCAGGAGGACCTGAGTTCAAATCCGGCCTCAGACACATAATACTTCCTAGCTGTATGACTCTTGGCAAGTCACTTAACCCCAATTGCCACACCAAAAAAAAAAAAAAAAAAAGATACATGAAAAGACAACTAGGTGGCACAGTGAATAGATAGAACACTGGGCTTGGAATCAGAAAACTCATCTTCACGAGTTCAAATACAACCTCAGACTACTAGCTGTGTGACCTAGGCAAGTCACTTAACCCTCTTGGCCTCAGTTTCCTCATCTGTAAAGTCAGTTGGAGAAGGAAATGGCAAACCATTCCAGTATCTTTGCTAAGAGAACCCCAAATGGACATGACTGGAACGACTAAACAACAACAAAAGATATATGAGATTTTGTATGATTATATGATCTCTCTTATCACCTGAGAAGATATAATCTGGAGCTTGTTCATCATTCATTGAATTCAATAATAAAAAAAAAAGGCAGTTCTGAGGATGGGATCGGAGTGAGGCTGTCATGATGGCTTGGTTTACATTTCCGTTTTACCCTGATCTCAGTTTGTTAGATAGGTCCTGACTCTTGCTTGATTCTTCACATAGCTCACCCAGACACTAGGTGCAACTCAACATTTTTTTTCTCTTCCATAACTAGATATGATCCTATAGGACTTGAGTCATGCATTTTATGAGACTCAAAACACAAATGGTTTTATGATCTCATCCACGTGGAAGTCCCCTCCAAAAATGCAACCCATTAAATTCTTTATATCATGTGTGATTGACTCTTGTTCATGCCTTCACAAAAGTTCATTAAAGGGGGCCCACCCAATATTGCTGATAGGTTCTTCCTTGCTTTTTCATAAAATCATGAAACCACTCTGGCCTCATGATCATCTTGGCTTCTTCCTTTTTTTTTTAATTATACATCTTTCTGATGACCTCTTTTATTCCAATGTTTATAGAATCATAGCTTGAGAGATGGAAGGGACTATGTAGTCCAGAGTAGTCAGAGGCTAAGTAGTTCAACTCCCCATTTTACAGACGAATAAACTGAGACCCAGGGAGGTAAAGCAACTTGCCTGAGGTCATATATATAGTAAGTGTCAAAGGTGGAATTTGAACTGAGATTTTCTGAGTCAGTGTGCTCTGTACTGTACCATTCTCTTCTTTGCAGTCCCTTATTTGGAATATGTTACAGCCACCATATGCCTCTCCATTGCCCTCTGAGTGATACTGAATTTTAATTCTTGAGACTGTAGCGTTCTATGACTTGAGTCCATACACCAATTGGAATATTGGTATCAAAAAAGCCTTGTTTTAGGGAGAAGGTTAGGGGGTTATTAAAGAACCTTTCAATTCCCCAAAGGCAACCCAGTCCACTCTCTTCCTTTTATTTAAAATATCTGAAGATAGGGATAGGAATAAGGAAAGGCACTGGACCTGTGATTTCTTTGTCATAAGGAATTCTCAACTAAAGCTCTCTGTGAATGTAGGTCAGCACCTTCTCTACAACGAATAGTGTCAGAGAATTGCCTAAATCAGTGGTGTCCAACTCAAATAAAAATTAGCACCACTAAACCATACATAAGGATCCCTGCAAGCTGCATTTGACTTAGAAAACCACATACACTTATATATTCCTTTTTTTTGGTGTTACTACATCAACACCTTATAATCATAACCTGACCTAAAACACTCAGAGGTCAAATGACTTGCCCAGGGTTGCACAGCTAATATGTGTTAGAGGTAGGACTTGAACCTAGGTCGTCCTTGGCTTGATGGCTTCCTATCCAGGTCTAAGCCTTGTGGATCCTCAATATGGGATGATAATCTATATTGTTTCAGAAAGGAAATATAAACAATTGCTTGACACCAAAATGTTACAGAGTTTAATCATATTTTAATTTAAATACAATTTAATAAAAACTGAATCAAATCCAAATGTTGAGATGGCATTTGAGCCCCTTCATTTTGACGGTGAATACAATACATTTTGCTCATCGCATTGATAGGCATGCCCACTAGAGGGCCCCCCTGTCATTGCCATGAAGAGAAGCACTAATGTTTTCATTTGCATAAATGCTGCATATTTCACAGTCAGTTAGAATGTCAGAGCTGGAAGGGGCTTCAGAGATCATCTTCTCCAATTCTGTCATTTTATAGTCGGGGAAGCCAAATGTGTGGTCCCTGGCAAGTCACTTCACTTCTCAGCCTCAGTTTCCTTATCTGTAATAAGAGAACTTACCTCCCAGCCTGTTGTGAAAATCAAATGAGAAAACATGGATAAAGACTTTTAAACCTTAAAGCACTGCATAAGTTCTAGTTTTGTTATTGTTGTTATTGTTAAGATTAGAATGGAATGGGAACAATTCTTCATGTGAAATACCAAATTAGTATACTATACATACTTCTCATGCTAATGACATATATTTAGAATTTCATTATGTTTCAGTCCAAGGTTGTTTGTCATGGAAAATCATCAGGGCTGAGGAAAATCATCTTTGCGGACTCTCAACATTTTTTATATTGGTGAAATTTGGTTCAAATGAATATCACTGACAACCTTGTAAAAGAAAAAAAAGATTTCAAAAAAGGACTACATGAAGTGGTGTGTGGAAATAAGTTGTAACCAGGGGGGCAGTCTTCCCCCTCTCTTTTTATGCTGATTAAATAACTCTTATTTCCATCCTCTTCCCTCTCCCCCACCCTTTCTTAAAGCACCAGTTATCTAGAGTGCTTCCTTTCCTTCTAGAGTATTGGCATTGTATGTAGGCTCCTTAGGGAGCAGTTGCATGGTTCCTCCAAAGCATGAGGCCCTGGACTAGGGCCTGGAATTGCTTCCATTATTGATTATCCTTTTATGGACATAAAAAGAAAATAAGCAAGGGGAAGTCATTTCTTAAGCCAAACATAGGACAAACTAACTTTCTTTTGCCTTTCTTTGTATCCCCAGTGGTTGGCACAGTGCCTGGCACATCTGCGCTTAAGAAATGTTTATTGACTGACTATTAACTATATCTTCTTCAATCACAGATTCTGAATGCATCCCAGCTGATATGCAGAGAGGAGGAAATTTCCTTTTTTCCAGTGGATTCTGGTGTGATATTTCTGTCATTTCTCCATTAGGGTTACATGTATACAGAGGCAGAGAAATGAGAATTCGCATCATATCCTGGACTGTGCTTGGTTTCATTAAAGCATCATTTCCATGATTGCAAGTCTCAGGATAAGTGCTTCCAGCTAGTACAGCTGCAATCTCTGGATTTGGCATTCAGCTGGGGCTAATGTCTTTGCAGGTTTCATGGCGCCAGAATTACTTCGGAGTGAGGAATATGATTTCTCCGTGGACTACTTTGCCTTGGGGGTTACATTATACGAGATGATTGCAGCCAGAGGACCCTTTCGAGCCAGAGGAGAAAAGGTATTAGAATCTGCTCTCCTGGCAAGGTGCACCTATGATTACACTGATGGCCATTTGGTACTGAATCTTTTTTATAATGGTGGTAATGGAGGATGAGAGTGAAGTGAGGATTTTATGTCAGGCAAAGAGATACCTCCATGTATTCTGGGATTGCAACTTTGGCTTTCAAGGACTTATTTCTTTTTTTATTTTTTATTTTTAATTGAAACTCTCTATTCTCCCCCTCCCACTTGCCCTATCATTAAAAAAAGAAAGAAAAAACCCTTGTAGCAAATATGCAAAGTCAAGCAAAACAAATTCCTGGATTGGCCACGTCCAAGAAATATGTCTCAATCTGAGTTCACTCTCTGTCAGGAAGTGGGGAGCATACTTCATCACTGGTCCTCAGGAATCATGGTTGGTCATGGCATTGACCAGAGTTCTGAAGTCTTCAAAGTTATTTGTCTTTATGATGGTGTTGTTAGTGTATCAATTATTCTATGATATTGTTATTCCTGGGCCTGGAGTCAGAAAGACTCATCTTCATCAGTTCAAATCTGGCCTCAGACACATACTAGCTGTGTGACCCTGGGCAAGTCACCTAACCCTGTTTGCCTCAGTTCTTCATCTATAAAATAAGCTGGAGAAGGAAATGGCAAACCATTCTAATATCTTAGTCTAGAAAACCCCAAATGGGGTCACAGAGAGTCAGACATGACTGAAAAACAACTTAAAAATTTTTACTGTATAAATTATTCTCCTGCCTCTGCTTACTTTATACTGTATCAATTCACATAAGTCTTCTCTGATTTTTCTGAAACTGTGTCAGGGGCTTGCTTCTTTGTGTTAGTGTTCACTCTTGATTGAGTGATATCTCTAAAGCAGGCTAATAAGTATCTGAGGCAAGATTTAAACCCATGTCTCAGAATAGTTCTTAGAGCAACAAACAACTTCCCATATTTCAGACAAAGCATCTGCAGATAACTTACACATCCTTGTATTTCTCTAAGTTTCAGTAAACTTAACCCTGAACTCCATTTACACTTCTATCAGCACCTCAATCCCACTAAATTTTCACTGGTTTGTCCAAACCTGAGACCACCTTCAGCTACTTAATTTTATTAATTACCATCCGAGACCATGGAACAGAATTTAAACTATATTTATTTCTTATGATTTCCCCTCATTCTTCAAAGAGCTCCCTAACTTCTACTTTTGGGCAACATCTATGGAGGATTTGGGACTGGATTTTGAAAGATGGGTAAATAGGTATAGAGGAATAGGAGGTAAAGCCAGATTTTCACCATAAGAGGTTTCTCCAGGTCTATCAGGTGAAGAATCAGAGAAGAAAGCCTTGAATTAATGATTGAATCCTTGTGACTTTGGGGGCTGTGATTCTAGGGCCCTTTCTCCTTTTCTTGTGACTCAGCCTCTTTGATCTTATAGCGCACAGTTCATAAACTGAAAAATAAGACTTCCTTGAACTGGAGCTACTACCAACCAGAAAGAAACTCCACAAATTTTACAACGAGGACCTAAATCTCTGGTCAGAGAAGTAACACAAGTCAAATCAACTCTTTCCCTTAGTAAAGTCAAAGAAACAAATCTTACTCCTCAGACCACCAAAGTAAAATACTGGCAGTTTATAACTACTAAGGAAATAACTAATTTTCTTCCAGGTTGCAGAACTAAAAGGACAGTTAGTTTTAGCAATCATGTAATATTTCCACTGGACAAATTTCAGGTCCTTTCTTAAGAGCGGTTTTAAAAGATTCAGAACTGGAAAACACCTCAGACACTTCCTGGTTTCTAACCCCCTCATTTGACAGATAAGGATACTGAGGCCCAAGTAGGTGAAGCCACTTACCCCAAGTCACACAGGTGATAAGTGCAGAGCAGTAATTCAAGCTTGGGTTATCTGACTCCAAATTCAGCAAGCATTCTTTCCACTACCCTGTGCTGCCTTCCCTCCATCCTTTCCTTAGAGCAGGTTTTGGTGGGATAGATGTAGGTACGATAGTTCAAGCATACTAGGCATCTAAATAGATTGGAGTAAGGCCCCCCAAATTCAACAGCTTTAGAATTTTGCTTATGGTTGGCTACTAGTAACTTGTATCTGTCTGTAGAGTTTAACCTGCTCCAGTGTTTTCTCCTCTTAGGTTGAAAATAAAGAGCTCAAACAGAGAATTATTTCTGAGTCTGTAAAGTACACAGAGAAATTCAGCAAGGCCAGCAAGGACTTCTGTGAAGCCCTTCTTGAAAAAGATCCAGGGAAGCGTGCTGGATTCAAAAATGGCAACTGTGATGAGCTCCGAGTCAATGTCCTCTTCAAGGATATCAACTGGAGGCAGCTAGAAGCTGGTACTGTAACAAGGGTTTAGTGTATCCATACTTGAAAAAAAATAGTAACAATAGTTGACTTGTGTCTAGCACTCTAAGGTATGCAAAGAGCTTTACAGATGTCTCATCTGTAAAGATCTGTCATTATTGATGTACTTAACAAGCAATTATTATTAAGACATTGTTCATAATTATTAATAATACATTAATTATTAATAATGAACAGTTATTGATAATTTATAATCATTAAGACATTATTAATCTATCATTATTCATGTATTTAACAAGCAATTTATTGTGTCTGTTATTAGCCAGGCACTGTGCTAAACACTGAAGGTACAAATACTTAAAAAATATAACATGCCCTCAAAGAGCTTCTCTGGCATGTTGGGAGAGATAATATATAGACAACATAGACAATTAATAAATAATTAAATACTGGGCATCCCAAAAGTCTTAGTGCAATTACACACACACACAACACACACACATCCCAGCTTAATAACTTTCATATAACTTTTAATAGCTTAAAAATGTATGAAGACTTAGGAATACCCTGTATAAAACATATGTAGTTGTTGTTATTGTTCTTGTTCAGTCATTTTCAGTCTTGTCCAACCCATTTGGGGTTTTCTTGGCAAAGATACTGCAGTGGTTTGCCATTTCCTTCTCCAATTCATTTTACAGATGAGGAAACTGAGGCAAAGGAGATGAAGTGACTTGCACAGTGACTTATATCTAGTAAATGTCTGAAGCTGAATTTGAGTTCAGGTCTAAGTGACTAAAGTCTCTGAGGTGTCTTCTGGTTCTAAATCTATTAAAACCCACTTTTAAGAAAGGACCTGAAATTTGTCCAATGGAGATATTAAATGATTGATAAATTTGTATAAATAATAAATAAATAAATTTGAATTCAGATCTAAAGCCTGGCATGTAGTCTAGTGTATAAGATGTGCACAAATAAGTAGGACACAAGGCAGAATATGAAAGGTACTAGTCAGTTAGGGAGCTAAGCCCTGAGGGAAAAAAATAAGCAAAAAGGACAGTCCCTGCCCTCAAGGAACTTCCATTCTAATGGAGGATAAGGGAAGATAAAATATAAAAGGAAACTGAAGAGTAGGAATGAAGGGTGAGGAAGAAGGTACCCAGCTTGACTTGGAGCATGGTAGAAAGTCTGGAGTTCACCCTGGTGAGAACTGAAGACATGGCTAGCCTGCAAGCCCTCCTTAAATATAGGTTCTGGGAGGAACCATCTAATCAGAGGGAGGGGCTAGAAGCAGGAGATACTTTCCAGGTGTGAATTCCACAGCTGGAGTCTTTCTTCACCTTCTCAGAATGAATGGCTGTCTGGAGGCATGGTAGAGAATTCCAGTGTGTAGCCTGGTGAGAAATAAAGACTTTTGAATAGTACAGACTCTAAGTGGTATAATACTTCTAAAAATTGACACCCAGATTGGATGATCAGGGAAGTCTTCAAGGAAGAGGAGGCATTTGAATTGAGGGATATGAAAGATGAATGGATTTAGAGGGTAGGGTATTTGAGGTAAATCGCCAGCATGAGCAAATATGCAAAAATGGGAAAAAGAACATCAGTCTGAGTAGACTAGAGGTTTTATATAGTGGGAGATAAGCCTGAAAAGATAAAATTTCAAACTCTGGAAGGCCTTGAATGCCAAACTGAGGAGTTTAGGGAGCCATTGAAGGTTCATGGTTAGGGGACCTATGTGATTAAAGCTGGACTCAGAAAGGATAATCTGGAAGTGGTGTGTAGCATGGCTGGTAGTGGCAAAAGATGGAATGTAGTGAGTCCAGTTAAGGATTTATCACACTTGTCAGGGCAAGAGGTGATGAGAACATGATTGTCCGTATGCATTCACTTATATTTTAGAATCTGAGGGTGTGGTTGGCAGCTTTGCCATACTCCCAATTTAATCTTGCAAACTACATAAAGAATTTTCAAATTGCATTGAGCAACTGGGACATAGGTGGTGCAGTGGATAGAGTACCAGACCTGGAATCAGGAAGACTTATTTTGAGTTCAAATCTGGCCTCAGACATACACTAGCTGTGTGACCCTGGGTAAATCACTTAACCTTCTTTGCCTCAGTTTCCTCATCTGTAAAATGAACTGGAGAAGGAAATGGCAAACCACTGCAGTGGTCTTTGCCAAGACAACCCCAAATGGGGTCATGACGAGTTGGTCACAACTGACTCAACAACAACATTAAATAACTACAATATACCATAGGTTATACCTGTAATTCTGGGCCACACAAAGAAGCATGAGATATAGTCCCTGTACTCAGAGAGTTTCTGATCTAGGTGGACATGCTTCACTTTCTCTACTAGACACTAGGCAATGTCTCTAGTCAAAACAACAACAACAACTATTGTTATTATTGGTATTATTTGGAACTCAATATAATTTTTAGTTTATTTCTCCCTTGCTTAACTGGCTATTTCTTTACTTAATCTATCTTGGCCCATCTATTGTTTCTTATTTTTTTTTCTTCCAACAGGTATGCTGATACCTCCTTTTATCCCTGACTCTAGAACTGTCTATGCAAAGAACATCCAGGATGTTGGTGCCTTTTCCACTGTTAAAGGGATTGTCTTTGACAGAACAGATACTGAGTTCTTTCAGGAATTTGCAACTGGAAATTGTCCCATACCCTGGCAGGAAGAGATGATTGAAATGGGTATTTTTGGGGACCTGAATGTGTGGCGTGCTGATGGCCAGATGCCCGATGACATGAAAGGGATAGCTGTGGAAGAGCCATCCTCATCAGCCAAGTCAGGAATGTGTCTGATCTCCTAGAGAAAAGCCCATCAAAGGCCTGAGAATCTTTTTCCATAGGAAGCATAACACTGGGAGACCAGGCCAAGAAAGGGAGAAAAGACCAGTCTACTTAGTAAAACCAAATAATAATGATTTTAAAATCTGGAAATCTCAACTGTACTCAGATAGCAGTCCATCTAATCGATGATTAAGATCTCATTACCCTGTTAAGCAAGTAGGCTTTGCCTGCTATAGGCTGCCCCTAGTATAACAGATTGCTTCCTTAGCAGTATAGCTAATCACTCAGTAGCTTTTCTATCTGGAATAAAGAAAAGGAAAGGAGTGCATGCTGAAGGGTGGCCATGTTGGACTGAAGTATAGTAACTTTCTAATCTATAAGTTTCTTTTGACCTCATACTGAGTCAGAATAGACAAGAAAGAATTACCAGCAAAGCCATTACTAGCAACTCTGGTGTCTGGGGTGAGAGACCTTGGAAACAAGGTCTTCTGAAATATCACACCATGGGGAGAAAACAGAGACCCTGAGCTGCTGCTGGGGTGGCAACTCAGGATGTGGGGAAAAGTATAAGTGATCATGCTATGATTGTAGGAGCTGTGATTTGGAGCTAGCAAAGGAGCAGAAGATATGTGAAGACCCCCATTGTTAGGGGGAGGAGAAAACACGCTATTCTAGATATACAACATCCTGGGGCAAAGCCTTTCTTGTCCCACCCTAGTTATGGGTCTGTCTCTCCAAGAGGAATGGTATAAACCTCTTAGAATGTATCTTGGATAGAAATGCAATCTGATGGTTGGGGGACAATTTTTGGTAATCATGGAAAGGTTTGGAAAGAACATCTAGATGTTTCGTTACTAGCATGTTATCAGTATCTATAGCAGAACAGACTTGCTGATTGAACTCTGAGGGGCATTTATGCTCTTTGTCTATGGATCCTTTGCAATGAGAAACTTGGTGTGCTTTTTGTAGACTGACTGGTGCTGCTGTTCATTGGGATTGTCCGGAGGAAGAGTTTTTCATCAAAATCCCCCAAATCTGCAGTTCTTATAATAAAGATTTAATAACTTAGCCCCAGTCAGAAGACTCAGAGAGCACTGGCTGGGGGCCATTTCTCCCACTAATCCCTATGCTCCATGCCTTACTTGTATTGGACATGGCTATTTGCACTTTTTGTCTCTGGTAGGATTCCAAAGTACTTTAGCATTTTATCTTTATGGTTTAAATTCCTATATCATCAGCCCCTGAAATGTGTCTACTTCTTAGTTAAGAGGGTGATTTTGATTTCCTCAGAAGTCTTATGATTTGAGGGAAATAGAAAGTTGCTTACAGCTCAAGTTCTTGACTAGTGGAAGGGGAAAGAATATGATCAGTTATATTGCCTCTCTGTTGGAAATACTCCCAAGTCAAGAAGACTAGCCACACTTTCCTTCCTGTTGTGAATCCCAGTAGGCCAGGGAAAGGCGGCATGGACTGAAGACTGACTGCTGGATGACAATAGACTTGTGAGGGAGCCTTTCACTCATGATTTTCAGAAGATCAGGGAGCTGTCTTTCTGGAAGGATTGAAATCTGGTTTTGCCTGTTACTGGTTAGAGGTTGTTTTAGATGTCTTCTGAAAAGCAATTTAGGAATATGTCATGAAAGATACTAAACTGAACAAACCCTTGATCCAGTGATACTAGACCTACACTCCAAAGAGATCAGAGAAAGAGGGGAAAAAAAAAAACCTCTTTTGTATAACAGTATTTATAGTATCTCTTCATATGATGGCAAAGAACTGGAAACTAAGGGGGTGCCCATCAATTAGCGAAGTGAAGAACAAATTATGGTATATGAATGTGCCATAAGAAATGTTGAAAGGGACTGTTTCAGAGAAACCTGGAAAGACTTGAATGAACTTATGTAGAATGAAGTGAGCAGACCTAGGAGAAAAATTTGTACAATACCAACATGATAATGACAGACAAATATGAAACACTTAAGAGCTATGATCAATGCAATGACCAACCATAATTACAGGGAACCAAAGATGTATACATGCTACCCACCTCCTGACAGAGAAGTGGTGGACTTAGACTGCACAGTGAGACACATATTATTGGACCTGGCCAATATGGCAATTTGTTTTGCTTGACTATGCATATCTGTTTCAAGGGTCTTATTTTGCTTTTTCTTTTTTTCCAAGGGGAGAGATGATGGAAGGGAGAGAAAATAAATACTTGATAACTGAAAAAATGAAATAAAAATAGATATCATGTGGCTGTACATGTACATCTCATTCAGCCACTTGTTGCCACCACAACCATCTCAAACCAGTACAGCTGACAATCCTGCTCGTACATACACCAGATCTCTCTCTCTCTCTCTCTCTCTCTCTCTCTCTCTCTCTCTCTCTCTCTCTCTCTCTCTCTCTCTCTCTTTCTCTCTCTCTCTCTCTCTCTCTTTCTCTCTCCTCTTTTCTTCTGTTTTCTCTCCTTTCCTCCCTGTTTTTCACACACACACACACACACACACACACACACACACACATACAATCATTACCCCTCTCCCACCCCATCTAAGCACAAGAAAACAAGGAGTTGGATCCATGGCATGCGACATTTGCAAGTCTGCCAACCTCTCTGATTGATTTCCTGAGGACCCTGCTACCTCTAGTTCAGGTTGTACACAATTGGAATTTGCACATTGTTGGACTTTGGTCAAAGCCATCGAAAGAAAGGCTACCTAATCCCTTAAATAGCCATCGCTTAGTGCAGCAGCTGTTTTGAAGGAAACAGCAATATTATCCTTTGAAAATTAGTGTATGTATCTTAACAGTGAGACCTTGTGCGAGTGAATATGTCATTCTAGAGCTAAAATTGTATACATAATGACTTTTATCATGAAAGGCATCTTGAAACCACTGAAATAAACAATATTGAAAATACCTTCCTTAATTCTATTCCTATTTTTGTTATTTCTATCTTTGTCTAATATGTTTTTGGTTAGCAAGTTGAAAGAGGAAGAGGAGAAGGATTTGTCTTAGCTATAAAAATTTTACGTCTATTAGAACAATAACTTCTCTCTATTTTATAGTCTCAGAGGGTGGCCTGGATTGCACTGAAAAGTCACTTTAGTTAGTCAGCAAGCATTAATTCAGACCTTACTATGTGTCAGGCATTGTGCTAAATGTGGGAGATATAAATATAAGCAAAAAGAAAGACAGACCCTGCCTTCAATGAGCTTACATTCTAACACGGAAGACAACATTTTCTAAAACAGAGTTGAAAAGCTGGAGTAAGGGTGGGGGAGGGAAGATGCTGGAGTAGAAGGTAAGCATGCTGGTGAAGTCTGAGTAATGAAGATTGGTTGGTCCAGGCCCTTCCTCAAAATGGAGGTTCTGGGAGTAACTCACCAATGGGAGAAGGCAGCTGAGGTAAGCCAAATATCTTACCTACTGTCACACAGTATGTGGTAGACACACTGGGTTTGAACCCAGGTCTTCTGGACTGAGGGCTGCTTCCTATTTCCTACATCCCACTGCTTCTTTCTTTCCTTTAGTGCGGGATAAGATGATTTCCCTTATGAGTCCTTTTTAGATGAGCTCTATATAGCCTACATATCACCAAATCTTCGATCTTAGAGTTAGAAGGGACTTTCAGAAGACATGTTATCCGATGTGTACCTGCTTAAGAATTACCTCTCTGACGTCCCTGATAAATGACCATCCAGTCATTTCCTGAAAACATCTCTAGTCTTTAGGTATCTAGATAGCTAGGAAAACCTGATTCCATCCAAGACAGGCTGTGCCATGTTTAGATGGCCCTGATTGTTAAGTAGTTCGTTTTTTCTTACATGGAATCTAAATCTGCCTTTCTCTAACTTTCATCTATTGTTTCTAGTTCTGTCTTCTAAAACCAAGCAGAACAAGTCTGATCTTGCTATATAACAGTCCTTCAACTATTTGAAGGTGGGTGTCATGCCCTGCCAAGTCTTCTCTTCTGCAGACTAAATATCCTCTTTTCTCTCAACTGATTCTCAAAATGGTGTGATTCTAAGGTCCTTTGGCATCCTGAATGCTCTCCAGCTTATCAATGGCTTTCCTAAAATGTGGTACCCAGAACTGCAAACATTGCTTCAGATGTGGTAGGACCAGGGCAGTCTAACCTCTAACAATATTTAAAGAATCAACTCATCAATAGGGATTTAAGTGCTCACTGTGTGCAGGGCAGCTAGGTGGTACAGTGATAGAGCACTGGGCTGGGAGTCAGGAAGACTCATCTTCATGAGTTCAAATCTGGCCTCAAACACTCACTAGCCTTGTACGACCTTAGGCAAGTCACTTAACCCTCTTTGCCTCAGTTTCCTCATCTGTAAAATGAGCTGGAGAAGGAAATAGCAAACCACTCTAGTACCTTTGCAACACCAAATGAGTTACAAAAAGTTGGACATGACTGAAAAATGACTGAACAACAAGATGTGTGGGACATTGCTCTAAGCACTAGGGATACAAAGAGAAAGGAAGCTGTTCCTGCTCTCAAGGAGCAAACATTCTAGTGGGCTAGAAAAAAGTTGTATACATAGGTACCTACAAGATGCATATGGAGTGCAGCATTATTATAGTGTATAAATAGGCTCTGGAGTCAGAGGACCTAGGTTCAAATCCTACCTCTGATGATTACTACCTGTGTGACCTTGGGTAAGTCATTTAATCTCCCTGAGCCTCAGTTTCCTCATTTCTGAAAAGAGGAAGTTGGGCTAGATTGCCTTTGAGAGGCTTTCCAACTCCAAATCTGTGATCCTCTGATACAGTATTCTTAGGATTCATGAAAAAAAAATAGTCAAAATTATAGTTAGGAATTAGAATTAAAAATTATATATATACATATATATATGTGTTCTTCTGTAATCTGTAAAACTTCCTGTATTACTGAATTTTTTTTTAGTAATTTTTCAGTCATGTCTGACTCTTCGTGACCCCATTTAGGGTTTTCTTGGCAAAGATAATAGTGTGGTTTGCCATTTCCTTTTCCAGTTCATTT